GGCGTAGTCGAACGGTACACACTCGGTAAGTAATCCTATAATTTTTTGTTTATAGCATAGTTTATACGGATTACTCCCAAAAAATTATACGTGTTTTGGAAATGTTGAGTCGAATTAGTCTAGAATCAGTTAATTTTATAGAAGAAAACCTTTCGAACAGCCTTAGTCCGTAAAGTTCCCACCTATCGGGCTGCGATTGGATCATGTATTTAATCATTCCTATAACGTAAAATTCGATTAGCGTGGAACGTATCTAAGTGTTATAGGGGGGTCTACTGTACTAGAAATAATCTTTTTTTCTTAGTCTGAGTCTTTCTTATTTTTGTGAATGTCCTGACTCAAGACATAAGTGCCCATAATAAATATGGTGTATAAACAAAAAAGTTGGGCACTGTGGATCTAAAAGAAAAGCAATAATGCATATGGTATATCATGGATTAATTTTGATCTGACTTCCATTGAAATATTTTTCATATTCATCTTACTCTATAACAATCTTTAATCTTTCATTTTCATGTCATTTGATTTGAGTCAATTTTAATGAATTGAATGACATCAAAAAGTTATTTCTTGGTCATTTGCTTAATTTGCAATTTAGTCTATGCTAATATTTTTTCACAGTAATTTTGAATATTCTAACATAACTAGAAATTCTTCTGCCAAGCATGATGGAATACTTTTTATGAGAAAGTAGATATTGAAGAATTGAGAATACAGATTTCAAGAAATTCAAGAATAGCTAATGTTTCTGCAAATTAAGTAGCCTATACTGCCAATTGAAGCATAGTTAATGCACAATAATTTTAAATAGCAGGCTATTTACATTGTTACTTCTGATTGGATAATAGACTGGTCATAAGAAGTTGTTTTTTTTTTTTATTGTAGAAGCAACATGATATTTCATTAAATTTAAACTTTAAAAAGATAGCCATAAGTTTAAAATATACCATTTGTCAAAAATATTTAAAAATGCAACTTAAGGGAAATTTTCTCATTGAGCATGAATGTCTCATGGTCATTGCAATGTAAACGTGATCACAGATCTGAAATTGATAAAACATTTATCCTACAGCTAATATTTCTGCAAAATAAGTAATCTATACTTTCTGACAGTACATAAAACGAATATAACCAAAATGTCATCTGGATTGGACAAAAATAGCAGGAGTTATAAAGAATTCACATACACACACAGATGACAGCTTATATATATTATTAAATAAAAAGAAAATATGGTAATTTACCATAATTATGAGTTTTCAAAGATTTTAGAAATATTTCATTTGTAATGAAGAAAGATGAACTCATATAATTAAACATGTAAAAGTGTAAATAGTTGAAAATAAGATCAATTTTAAATGATTTATCAGACTAAATGACACAAAGTAAGCTATATAAAAAAAGTTTATTTAATTCTAGTTATTTTACAAATATACATTGGCCCATAATTTAAGGGAAGAAATGGCAATATAAGTTTTCCATATTTACAGTTCCAAATTTTCATTACTTTGATAAAAGGCTTGAAAGTATCAGTTAAATCTTTAATAATGAATTCTTTATTTGTTTTTTCATGAAAATGAGAAAGTGCCATATGAATGACTCCATCATTCTGAATAGGTGATAAAGAACATGTTGAATAAACAACTGATCCATCAACTCTCAGAGATTGTAAACCAGCACTATAACAAATCTCAAAATTAATTTTAGTAAATACAGTATTATAAATTGATAAAAAAATAATACCTTAATATTTCCATCTGCAACTGAGGCATTTTTATTCTTTCAGTAATTCTTCTTGAAGAGAAGATATTATTGTCAACATCAGTGACTGAAAGTCGATCATTCGTACATGGTACATCAAGCAATATCTGACAATAAGTTAATAGTGTGCATTATAAAATATTTACAATTAATTAAACTTTTTGAATTTCAATAAATATAAATTAATGATCTTCAAATAAATTTATTTAGATCTGTTCAACAACTAGATATCCCAATCAAATGATCAGCTATTTCTGACATGTTATTTTGTACAAATAACATAAAACACCATATTAGAATACAAAATTTCATATTGTTTTAAAATACAGTACAAACAACATAATTTTATTTCTGCATCTTAAAATGATATAAAACAAAAATTTCATAAAAGACCACCAAATATAAAAATTAGTTACAAAACAATTCATAATTTAATCAAAGTACTTTACCTTATCAAAACTTTTATCTACTACTTTCCTAGCATCCAAATTAGTAATTTCAACTCTTTCATTGAGGATATTAAGTGAAGGAATATATTGATTTAAAACTGATACAAGTCGATTTAATCGAATTTTGCTAATGTCATTGCATATTAATTTTCCTACATAAATAACATATTAGTTAATTATATTTTATCAATAAATTCATATTAAATAAATTTTCAAAAAATTTCATTAACAAAATACTTATTTTATAAATACTTTTCATTCTAAAGAATTAATTAGTTATAAATTTAACTGAATATATTTATTGGATATACACATTAATTTTCTATTTATTTAATTAAAAAAAAAAATTAAAACTTTGTACATATTCACAAAGAACTCAACACAGAAAAAAAAAAAAAAGTATAATTAGGATACCTATAGCAAGTAGTGGTAAATATACAATACCATTGGATTTCAGGCTATCATCAGGCTATAATATGGCTAACTAATTATGCAGATATTACATAATTTGGACTAAAGGTACGCAGCAGTTAAGCCACATCTTATATTAAATTTAATAATTAGAAATTAATTAATTAGATTATTCTGGAAAAAAGGAACAATGCAGAGTAAGACCTGAACTCACAACATTGTTTACTATGCAGCTGCATTGCCAATTCTACTTGGAGCTCTGTCTGATCTTTGTCAGTGAATAACATATATGGTTATATCTTTTATAACCATATATGTTATTCACTGACAAAGATCAGACAGAGCTCACTGACATATTCTTTTAGAATATTCTAAATTAATTTATTTCTAATCATTAAATTTGTATTTTCCCACATCTAAGAGCATGCTCTTATAATAAGACAAAATTAGCACCATATTAAGACAAAGGGGATGGGACACTGTCAACTGGGCTATCGCTAACTGGGTGCCAGATATCTGGGCGATAAAATAAAAGATGAAGAATAGATAAAATACAATTTTTTTTTGTTTTCTTTATAAAAATCACTATTCTTTTTAATTAATCTGCTACATGGTAAATTTAAATAATATTTTTTAAGAAACAATTAACTCATTTCTTAAAAAATATTTAAATTTATGAGTTGAAAGAATGATTCTGTAATTAACAAACATATTTATAAAGATTACATACCGAATTTATTTATTTATTTTTACAAGTAAATAAAAAGTCTTGAAGGACAGTTGATATCTACCTCCGAAAATCCAAATATATGTAAAAACAAAGACAACAATTACATAAAAACTAAAAATACATTACGTTATAAATTAAATACAATATAAATTAAAACAAAAAAGTATAAAAGTTCTTCAAAAGAATTTGTTTTTGAAGAACTGCTTTTCTTTGACATGCTTTGCTAACTGTTTTGATATAAAATAATTAACAATGCTACAGTATGTTATTCAACAAAAGCATTTCCTTTTCCTAAGTTGGAAATAGCTCGTAACTTATAACTCATACTTCGTAAGTCTTAACCATATTTATATTTACATATATTTTACCAATATTTACAAATAAATAAATAAATAAAATAATATCTGTCAAATCATATGCTTGCTAAGTGTACAAAAATTTCTAAGTTTCTGTTGCCCAGTTATGTACAGTACCTCCACAAAGTACCTATAAAAACTCACTATTTTTAAAAATACTTTTATAATATCAAAAACATTTTTTTATTTTTAATAATAGTTACTACATAGATGTCACTGAAATATTACTGCATCAGAATATTTACATTTAATTTACATGGACACAGTAGTGCAATGCTCTTATAAGCCAAAACAAGCTGGCATACAGTCTTTCATTGATGTGTTCTCTTTTAGGTAAAATAGGATATACAGTTGACCCCCTATAATGTGGGTTCAAATAATGCGGATTTGTATATCGTGGCGAAAAATTGCGACTGTATTCGTATAAGGACGCTAAAAAGACTCGTAAAATGCGGTAAAACGTCATCACAATAGTCATCGCAAACGAGCAGCCAAACTACTTTCCATCGTTCAGCGCCATGCTACGGAGATTTTAGGCGGGCAAGTTGAGTTTACTATCGTCTGTACAGTATATAGACCTAAATTAGGTACTGTAAGTCTAATACAGCACTGTAATTTTATACATTTCTTGTGAAAAAAACATTTCTTATTCAATGGCCATAAAAATTATTTCTATTAATGTCTCCAAAGTTCAACGAATTTTTTACAGAAAAATAACTTATCAGAAAACGCGGCCACTGTTTGGTGCGTGCTCCACGACAAAAACAACCTTAAGTAATGGCGTCGTCGAATGGTGCACACTCGGTAAGTAATCCTACAATTTTTTGTTTATAGCATAGTTTATACAGATTATTCCCAAAAAATTATACATGTTTTGGAAGTGTTGAGTCAAATTAGTCTAGAATCAATTAATTTTATGGAAGAAAACCTTTCAAACAATCATAGTCCGTAAACTGCACACGTGATGGGCTGTGATTGGCTCACGTATTTAAGGATTCCTACAATGCGAAATTCTTATAAAGCAGAATGTATCTGCCGCGTTATAGGGGGGGTCGACTTGTATGTTTCAAAAATGAGAAAACAAGTGATTTTCACATATAAGAGTGCAAAAATATGGTAGCTTAATTTCCTACAATTCGTCTAAATTACATATCTTTATAATTAATTGAAATAATTAGACTGATTAAAATCTGATGGTATAGTTTGTTATTAATAAAAAGTATAAGTAAAATATTACAATTTAACCTTCTCTATCAGCAAGAGAAAGCAAATCAAATATTTTCCCCTATTAGTATTCCAATCTGAATGACATATATACATAAATCATTACAACAGAAGTTCATTAATTTGGTACAGTACCTATGGGACTAAGACTAGATTATTGCTAGATTACCAATTGTTTCTGTATACATATTCCAAGAATGAGAAACCTGTTGAACTGCTTCTTGGTGTGCTGTCCTTTCATTGTTATGTCAAAAAGAACAGTCAGTAAGAAAAAACTCATGCACATTACTGAACTCCAAACATACATGCTAGCTCTAATGAAGCAATGTTTGCTCAGCACAATAAAATTTAGATTATGCAATGTTGTATAGCAAATTTTCAAACAAATTCCTTTCATGGAGTATTAGCACATCAGATTATTACTGGACATCAAATTTTTTTCTACTATATATTTCTACATGCAATATTGAATACTTAGCAAAATGAAAGAAAAAAATGTGAAAATTTGTATCTAACTAACTACACTAAGAAACATGCTTCTACTCCTTTATGTTGAGTAGGACTAGACTAGGATTGTTATACTGAAGGAAGTGAACCCACTCCCTTCAGTATAACAATTCATAGTAAAAAATTCATTTTAAAAAACCTTTATTGTAAGGTTACAAGTTAAAAAGAACAACTGTTATTAAAATAGAACTTTAAAATTTATATAAATGAACATTTGGATAATTATAATTAATTTTCAAAAGTAGTGAATCATTTTTTGATTACTTATATAAAACCAAACCAAACTTTTATTGGAAAACTAAAGATAAAATTCCAAAGTTTTCAGTTACCCCAATTCTTAGTTATTTAGAAATTAATACCAAAAACACAATTCAAAACTGAAAAGAAAACTAAAATAACTTTAAACATATTATTTAAATTTTTNTAAGTCTAATACAGTACTGTAATTTTATACATTTCTTGTGAAAAAAACATTTCTTATTCAATGGCCATAAAAATTATTTCTATTAATGTCTCCAAAGTTCAACGAATTTTTTACAGAAAAATAACTTATCAGAAAACGCGGCCACTGTTTGGTGCGTGCTCCACGACAAAAACAACCTTAAGTAATGGCGTCGTCGAATGGTGCACACTCGGTAAGTAATCCTACAATTTTTTGTTTATAGCATAGTTTATACAGATTATTCCCAAAAAATTATACATGTTTTGGAAGTGTTGAGTCAAATTAGTCTAGAATCAATTAATTTTATGGAAGAAAACCTTTCAAACAATCATAGTCCGTAAACTGCACACGTGATGGGCTGTGATTGGCTCACGTATTTAAGGATTCCTACAATGCGAAATTCTTATAAAGCAGAATGTATCTGCCGCGTTATAGGGGGGGTCGACTTGTATGTTTCAAAAATGAGAAAACAAGTGATTTTCACATATAAGAGTGCAAAAATATGGTAGCTTAATTTCCTACAATTCGTCTAAATTACATATCTTTATAATTAATTGAAATAATTAGACTGATTAAAATCTGATGGTATAGTTTGTTATTAATAAAAAGTATAAGTAAAATATTACAATTTAACCTTCTCTATCAGCAAGAGAAAGCAAATCAAATATTTTCCCCTATTAGTATTCCAATCTGAATGACATATATACATAAATCATTACAACAGAAGTTCATTAATTTGGTACAGTACCTATGGGACTAAGACTAGATTATTGCTAGATTACCAATTGTTTCTGTATACATATTCCAAGAATGAGAAACCTGTTGAACTGCTTCTTGGTGTGCTGTCCTTTCATTGTTATGTCAAAAAGAACAGTCAGTAAGAAAAAACTCATGCACATTACTGAACTCCAAACATACATGCTAGCTCTAATGAAGCAATGTTTGCTCAGCACAATAAAATTTAGATTATGCAATGTTGTATAGCAAATTTTCAAACAAATTCCTTTCATGGAGTATTAGCACATCAGATTATTACTGGACATCAAATTTTTTTCTACTATATATTTCTACATGCAATATTGAATACTTAGCAAAATGAAAGAAAAAAATGTGAAAATTTGTATCTAACTAACTACACTAAGAAACATGCTTCTACTCCTTTATGTTGAGTAGGACTAGACTAGGATTGTTATACTGAAGGAAGTGAACCCACTCCCTTCAGTATAACAATTCATAGTAAAAAATTCATTTTAAAAAACCTTTATTGTAAGGTTACAAGTTAAAAAGAACAACTGTTATTAAAATAGAACTTTAAAATTTATATAAATGAACATTTGGATAATTATAATTAATTTTCAAAAGTAGTGAATCATTTTTTGATTACTTATATAAAACCAAACCAAACTTTTATTGGAAAACTAAAGATAAAATTCCAAAGTTTTCAGTTACCCCAATTCTTAGTTATTTAGAAATTAATACCAAAAACACAATTCAAAACTGAAAAGAAAACTAAAATAACTTTAAACATATTATTTAAATTTTTAAAATAATCTTTTGTTTCTACTGTATAACCAAAATATTTCTAAAGGAAACTGATTCCACTGCTATAAAAATCTAAGAGATTTTAATTTCTCAGTTGTTATAAAATTTAATATAGTGAAGGTATGATACAGTAAAAGTTAATTTCTATATATCATACAGGAAAATGAAAACCCTGTTAATTTTAAAATACTTTTCGTATGTAATTAAATTAACAGATTTTTTTTTCAAATCCAAGAGTTACCAATCTTAATTAAATACAATTAAAGTTTACTTTCCATAAAATGTTTGCTTATTTATATTAATTTAAATTGTATATTTCTTTATTGGTCTCAGAACTGCATTGAGTTAATAAGCAATAATACATATAAAAAACTTTCTCTGTGAAATTAAACTTTTCATACATATTTAATTTTAATTACACAAACATATCTATGTAAGTAAAAACAGATTAACTAAATTGTCAATTTTTGAATGTGCATTTGGAAAATCTACTTTATTACAGTACATAATGGATGTTTGACTTTTAAAGAACAATCCTCTTTTGAATTGGCATAAAATTGAGGTTTTACTATAATTGGTCAAATTTTGACCCCTCCATTTTTATTTATTTCTTAATGTCTGACATTCCAGGAGCCAAAAAATATTAAAAAAAAAAAAAACNAAAATTGAGGTTTTACTATAATTGGTCAAATTTTGACCCCTCCATTTTTATTTATTTCTTAATGTCTGACATTCCAGGAGCCAAAAAATATTAAAAAAAAAAAAACCAAAATTGTTACAAAATTCTGTGTGTGTTGGCTTCTATTTTTCATTATATCTCAGGACTCAGAACAAAAAATTTTAAAAGTTGGCAGTATTATTTCTTTATATAGGGTATTGATGCTTTTAAATTTTGGTAATTGAAGATCAAGAGAGTGGGAAGAGGGATTCATATGTCATATCTTGATCATTTCTATGTCATATCATATATTAAAGTTTTCATATTTAATGAAAACTTTATTTTTATAGGCATTTACAACTTTTTTAAAAACTCATCTCTACCCACAAAATTAACCTTTTTGCCTTTTTTTAATAATTAATAACAAAAATTATTTTTAAATACAATCTTGTTTAACAAATGACACCACACCAAACTTTTAACTTTGAACCATAATCACTGTTTTTTAAACTTAAATAAGTTTTAAAAATAGAGAAATTTATCATAATTCAACAAAATTACAGATCCCCCTATAAGAGTGGTTCCTATAATTACGATTCCTATAAGACGGCGAAAAAATTGTGGCGGTATCCGTACACAACGGTAAAAAAACTCCTATAATCATTATAATCCTATAGTCATCGGGCAGCCGAACTACTTTCACGCTGTCCGTAGCGCCACGCTATGGACGTTTAGGCGGGTAAATTGAGTTTAGTTTCGTCTGTACATATAATTATATATAAATTAGGTACTGTATATATAATTATATATTAACTTAATTTATTGTAACTTTATTATAATTATATAAATGCTTTCCGCCGCCTGGCGCCACGCTACAGAGAGTTTAGGCGAACTATCGTCTGTACAGTATGTAAATTAGGTACCATAAGTCTAATACAGTACTGTAATTTTATACATTTCTTGTGAAAGAAACGGCGATAAAAATTATTTATATTAATGATGTCTCCAAAGTTCAGCGAAGTTTTCACAGAAAAATAACATCAGAAATCGTGGCCGCAGTTTGCTGAGTTGTTCCGCGACGAAAACAAGCTTGAGCAATTGCGATGTCGAATGGTGCACACTCGGTAAGTAGTCCTACAATTTTTTGTTTATAACGTAGTTTATACGGATTACTCCCAAAAAATTATACGTGTTTTGGAAATGTTGAGTGGAATTAGTCTAGAATCGGTTAATTTTATAGAAGAAAACCTTTCAAACAGCCTTAGTCTGTAAACTTCACACCTATCGGGCTGTGATTGGCTGCGATTCCTACAAAATTGGATTCATAAAGAACGGAACGTATCTACCGTCTTATAGGGGGATCTACTGTACTTCTTTTAAGCTTTTAATTGTGGTATAATTAAAAGTTACTTCCTCATACTCTCACTCTTCTGTTTGAGTGCCAGGAAAATCAAGTAAGAGATCTTGTCAGCTTTTTTTTATTGTTGTTATATTAATTTATAAAAATGATTTTAATTTAATGTTTATTTAAGCTATCCAATTGGTTTTTTCATTATCAACCTAACATTATCATCATTTTAGAATAAAGACAAACAAAATAAAATTATTCTACACGTTGAATAAAATATTATATTTAAATATTAAAGATATTCAATTTTATGTTTTTATGTATTTTATGCTTTTATGTTTTTTTAGTAAAGACAAACAATCTATCTTTAGAATCTACTAAGTACAATAGAGGCTTCCATATCTGAACTAATGTGAGTGGGAGTGATCTGGATATTAAAAAAATTTAGATAAGGGACTGTGATCATTTTTAAATAAGACTGTAACATATATGTCAACTCTATATATAAAACATGTTTATTTTAACTTCGACATTTATTTTTATAATTACAATTAATTTTGAAAGCATTGCGTTAAAATGGTTTATTTTGTTCTTGGTTGCTAATGAGCTGGTACATAATGCCAATGTACAAATATAAACGATGAATATTACTTAGCATTTAATTATTAACAGTAGTGGTAATATAGCACAATCTAATCCATCAATCATTTGGCTTTAATCATACTAATGTCTCATTATCATGTCAGTGGTGATTGATGCATTGTGCTCAACTAAGAACTTCAAAGCAACCTTAATTAATAAAAAGAAAATTAAAAGATGAACAAAATGCAGTATGGAAAGATAAGATTTTAAGAAGTGTACAATATTTTCAAAAATTTTTGGTTGTCTTTAATCAATCTGGATATCCAGATGTAGGAGAGTCCACTGTATTATATAATAAAAAATGTTGGATTTTTACAAGGCTTGTTATCTTATGTGACAATTTTAATCATCTAGGAAATCATTTTGCCTAACTATAGCCTAGCAAAAATCTAGTAATTTAATTATGTAGAAACTTATATATATATTAGTGATGTAACGAATATTCGGTTACTATTTGGTATTCGGCTTATTTTTCGCTATCTGGCCGAATACCGAATATTTAATCACTATTCGGCCGAATAACAAATACCTAAAAACAGAAGTAAGAAATAACAAAAACACAGTAAATTAATCAATTTGGTATTTAGATTTAATGTTATCGGGTTAGTGTTGTTTGTTTATATTTATTTATAACTTATAACATGCACAAAATAAAAAAGAAAATAATATTAGTCACATGTATTCACAATTTATAATTACAAAGATCAGCACACGTACACACCTATTCGTTCGAAAATCGTCGCACATCTGTCAAATCCTGCCTATTCTTCTTTTTAAGAGCTCGTCTTTGCTCTTCCCTTTCTCTTTCCTCTATCGCTCTAGTCCACGTATGCCTATACATACATCATATACGCGCTTACGATACTTTCGATTCGTCACTTTTCCGTCATAGATTTCCCATTTTACAATTACGTGACTCATAGCCTAATAATAACAATGAAAAGAGACAGATAGGATGTCGGTATAAGTCACAGTTATGATTTCACTGATTCAAGACAGCTTGGTAGCCCGAATAGCCCCAGGCTTTCGCCTGCGCACGCTAAGTGACTTTCATTACAAGCATTTAGCTTTCCGAAGTCTATGACAGCAATTGTTTGGCATTGGTGGCCGCGAATTTTGCGGTAATAAGCTGCCGACTTGTTCGATTATGCTATTAACTCAATTTCATATTTATTTTCACATTTTTGCGGTCCTTCTCTGTTCTTTTTCCGTTATTTACTTGTGTAGGTCATTTCATTGTTATCCACATTTGATATCATCATTTATCACATACTGCCATGACACTCTTATCTGTCCACTACAACTGTCAAGAATTAATGCGATTGGTGAAGCGTAGTGATAGCGGACCAATAGAGAGCAGGATCCTTGCCATAATGCGGTTTGCGCACCAATTTTCGTATGTGCGTTAATCAAATCGAATAGTTTGGCCGAATATTCGGCTATTCAGCCACACTCCTGGCTGAATATTCAGTATTCGACCTGAGGCCGAATATACTATTCGTTTCAACACTAATATATACATAATGAAAAAAATGTTTATTATTAAAAAAATTAAAATACATTAATATTTTTATATTTGTCACCATTTAATAGTTTTTGACTGTTTTATTACCTTTCTTGTAATATTTTTAGGAACAAAAGAATAAAATTACAAGAATTAAAAACTATTATAATTCTATTCCTTTTGCACCTGAAAATTTATAATATACTGAACTTAACTTCTTTGTACAGTAGAATCTTTCTAATCCAAACTTCTTGACATGAACCTGTTTGGATTGGTGAGTGTTTCAGATTATCTAAAATTATTTTTCATTATGTACTATATAATATTGAATAAATTTAAATTTTTTTCTTGAGTTTTTTGAGTAACTTTTTTTTAGTTTAATGGATAATTGTTTTGCTATAAAAATGATATTTAAAATTATTTGATTTAAATATTAATTAAGTTTATATAATGTAATAAACGGTGGATTTTCCATTTTGCATGATATAAAACTTACCAAAGTGAAGTGAAAATAATATAGCCAGTGTCTTTCCTCCAGGTGCTGCACAGAAATCACCTATTAATTCTCCAGGTTGAGGATTTAAAGCTAGAACGGGTAATATTGATGCTCCATCCATTAAATAATAGCCTAAAATAATTAATATAGTCATTTCAGCAGATTTATGGATATTTCTAATGATATTGAAACTTTACTCACTGAAAAGTTCTAATGAATCCTTTTTGGGAGCAGGAAAGTTCTCTATATTTCCTCTAGGATATACATAAATATTCCAAGATTTGGGAAAGCTTGTATTTCTCTCTCTTTCAGAATTTATAGTTGAACTCAAATCTGATTTTAAAAAAGAAAAATACTCATTTTCATCAATAATTTCTTCTTCATATTTTAATTTAGTTGCTGGGATATATTCTCCTTCAGCAACATAACTTGCTTCTGGTGAATAAACAGTTTTATTATCAGTTTCTATAAAATCATCTGTTTCTTCAGCTAAAATTTCATCTGGGTTGTTAATGTTTCCTGAAGAACTGATTATTTCTTTATTCTCTTGTTTATTTGATTCTTTTTGACACTTTTGTACATTTTTGTTATATATATTATTTAAGTTTATAGCACCATATTCTTCAAGTGTTTTTACTGTGCTTTCAACATCACTGAAAGCATTCACAAAAGCACAGTATTTTGAAGGACATTGCAATGCTAATCGAATTGAAGGCCATTTTGTTTTAAATATTCCAGAATAAAAATGATCAAAATGTTGAAGAGCTTGTTCTATGGATTTAGTCTTTATTTTTTCTTTCTTCTGAAAATTAGTAATAAAAAATAAAATTATTAATTTCTTTTAGTAAGTAATCAAAGATGAATCTATTCATTTCTGTTATTTTAACTTGAACAAAATTTAAATAAAAAAGTTGTACAAGAAAATTTTCAAAAATGAAAGCACTTTTATGTTTGAATTATTTTGCTATATCCTTGGGCATTAATAGTTTCCTTACATTAATAATAATTATTTTTAAATTTTATGCATAACATAATATTGCTTCATTATGATTATTTTCAGACATAGCTAAGTTATTAACTGAACTCCTCTATTAATTAAAATAGCTGAATTTCTAGGCTAAAATGTTTATTATTATAAGATATACAATATCTAAACATTGAAATATTGGATTTTTACATTTGTTAGCATGTTTTAAAAATAGAGAAAAAATATTTAAAAGTAACATTTTTTCTCTTAAAGTAAAATATTGCATTTATATCAAATATCTATAATAAAGATTGATACTGTATTCCCTGAATGTCATATATCCAGGAATTATCAATAGTTAAAAAGTTTTAGTTAATGTTTAGTCATTATAATGAATGAATCCATTATAATGACTATAGTACATTATAATGGACTCATTTAGTGATTAAATTGTTCATAATTAAGTTTGTCATGAAATCACCTCTTTATAAATATATTTTTATTAAATTTCTTTATATACATACTTTATTAAAAATTTGTTTTTATTCTGTAAAAATTGTTTATAGGGTTTTCTATAGAAAACTTTAATTATTTTTTAAATAGAATACATTATTTTTATTAATATATTCTATTTTTAAAACAATCCAAATTTTCAATATTTACCAATTTTGACTAAAAAATATAAACTTTTATGAAAAGTTAGAAGTAGAGTTTCTTCTTACAATAGAGTTAAAAATAATCCCAAATGAAATACAGTTCTGTACTTATGCCATAGTAATTGAAAATTACAGCAGCATATATAATAAATCATTTAAGTTTTAATATACTAATTTGCATTTATCACTTGGCTTGTAATATGCATTATTTATATCATTTTTTTCCAGAATAATGTTAAGTAGAAAAAGTGACATTGTAAAACTTGTCAACACAAACTTACACAAAATTAGCATTTAACACTACAACTTCATCAAAAATAATTTACAAAATTTTATTCAATACAAAAAAAGGCAATTTGCATGATTTGAAACAATGAATCTGCCATTTTATTAATCATGATCAATTTTTTCATTCATTGGATTTCTTTGAAAGTTTAACTCAAAAATGTAAACATAAGAATCAGGAGTATTAATTATTATTTATTATGAAATTTTTACATATTACAGGTAACCCCCATATAACACGGTAGTTNAAATATTAAAGATATTCAATTTTATGTTTTTATGTATTTTATGCTTTTATGTTTTTTTAGTAAAGACAAACAATCTATCTTTAGAATCTACTAAGTACAATAGAGGCTTCCATATCTGAACTAATGTGAGTGGGAGTGATCTGGATATTAAAAAAATTTAGATAAGGGACTGTGATCATTTTTAAATAAGACTGTAACATATATGTCAACTCTATATATAAAACATGTTTATTTTAACTTCGACATTTATTTTTATAATTACAATTAATTTTGAAAGCATTGCGTTAAAATGGTTTATTTTGTTCTTGGTTGCTAATGAGCTGGTACATAATGCCAATGTACAAATATAAACGATGAATATTACTTAGCATTTAATTATTAACAGTAGTGGTAATATAGCACAATCTAATCCATCAATCATTTGGCTTTAATCATACTAATGTCTCATTATCATGTCAGTGGTGATTGATGCATTGTGCTCAACTAAGAACTTCAAAGCAACCTTAATTAATAAAAAGAAAATTAAAAGATGAACAAAATGCAGTATGGAAAGATAAGATTTTAAGAAGTGTACAATATTTTCAAAAATTTTTGGTTGTCTTTAATCAATCTGGATATCCAGATGTAGGAGAGTCCACTGTATTATATAATAAAAAATGTTGGATTTTTACAAGGCTTGTTATCTTATGTGACAATTTTAATCATCTAGGAAATCATTTTGCCTAACTATAGCCTAGCAAAAATCTAGTAATTTAATTATGTAGAAACTTATATATATATTAGTGATGTAACGAATATTCGGTTACTATTTGGTATTCGGCTTATTTTTCGCTATCTGGCCGAATACCGAATATTTAATCACTATTCGGCCGAATAACAAATACCTAAAAACAGAAGTAAGAAATAACAAAAACACAGTAAATTAATCAATTTGGTATTTAGATTTAATGTTATCGGGTTAGTGTTGTTTGTTTATATTTATTTATAACTTATAACATGCACAAAATAAAAAAGAAAATAATATTAGTCACATGTATTCACAATTTATAATTACAAAGATCAGCACACGTACAC